GGCCCGGTGTCCGCCATGGCCCTGACTGGTGAGTAGGACCTGGGCCTTCAGGCGTTTCTTCCTTTTCTAATGGGTTCCTGGTTCATGCTGTGTACTCAGCAGCTCTGGCTCCCTATCTGCGTTCTCCTTCCTAAGCCCTTGGCCATGGCTCGTGCGTACCGAGTGCTTGGTCTTTTCCTATCTGCATCCTCTTTTTTCGGTGCACAGTGACCCCTCAGCTACTGTCCACCTCCGAAAAACACATCTAATCCAAGCCCAGCTGCACCCACCTGCGATATTCCTTTCTTTCCTTGTTAATGAAGGGATTCTTTGTTACACAACCACAAACACACGTGCACACAAAAGAAAAACCCTACATCACAGCAAACTGGGGTGACTGAATCACACAGGCAGTATCCTTAAAATGAGCTATTTATTATACTGCCATTGAAAATGTTTTAACATAAAACAATAACTTTATAATATTCCATTGGAAAAAAACAGCCCAAAATTTTTCCAAGGGTGCTAATCACAACCATTTGAAAAAGACACGGGAATAAGCACATCCCACGGACGGGTGGTTAGCATAGAGTGTTCCAGCTTGGGTTTTTTTTTTTTTTTTCTATTTTGTTCTCTTCTGCATTGTCCAAATTTTGTTAAATGGCAAGCATTTATTTTTTTCTCCAAGTATTTCTTTTATAATCAGAGAAAAACACAATATCTCCTCCCTCCCGTCCATCCATCCCCTTCCTCCGATCACTTTTGCAACTTCCTTTTCTGATTGTGAAGTTAAATCCACTGGGCCCTAGGAAAAGAGGGAACAAACCACAAGGCACGGAAATCGAAATCGGACGCACGCACGCAGTCAGGCCCTTGTTGGCAACTCCCTCTCCTGCCCCAGAGCAGCCCTCAGGGTCCCAGGGACCAGAGACCCACCCTGAGAGTCACCCGGGGCCCTGGCTGTCCCCTCAGGGCTGCCCCAAGCCTGCGACAGCCAGTTCAGGGCACCACAGGGAAACACCAGGAAATGAACCTCAGAAAACCTCGTGCCCCAGGATGTGCTGTTAGGGTTTTTTTTTGGTACTGGGGATTAAACTCGGGTCTTTGTGCTTGTACAGCAGGCGGTGAAACCACTGAGCTAAATCCCTGGCCCTGTGCTGTTAGTTTTAGCCACTCCTCGATTTTGTTTCTCCTCATCCCCCTCACAGTGAACCTCAGCATCGCTAAGCACAGAGGCAGTTGAGGGGCCTGGGCCCTGCCTGTCCCCAACCCTTTCATTCATGTTCTCTTCCAGAATTTCTTTTTAAGCTTATTTATTTGTTTTGTTTCATTTTTGTTTTGGAGGCCAGGTCTTGCTCTGTAGTCCCGGCTGGCCTTGAACTCTCAGTGATCCTCCTGCCTCAGCCTCTGGAGTGCTGGGATCACAGGCCTGTGCCACCAGGCCCGGCTTAAGCCCATGTTTTTATAGTGAGAAGAGTTTATGAGTGTTATGGAAAGTTTAAAAACCAAAAAAAAACCCCCAAAACCACATCTTTCGACCCAGTAACAGCCACCACTCATCATGTGAGCACCTGCCTGGCAGGACCAAAGCCCTGGGCTCCATCTTCAGCACTGCAAAGCCAGACCAAAGCCTGTGTTCAGCGCACAGCCCCTTCCTGCATCTCGTGTGTAGAGTGTATTTGAAGGCTGCGGTGCGAGTGGCCACAGATTTCTTGGCTCTCGCTTTTCCATATCCAAGTCACGTTGTGAGCTTTTTCTGTGTGGCCCCACAGCCTGCCGACATCACCATTTTCATGGTTATTTGATGCTTTCTGGTGAAAGCACTGTAACAAAATCAATCATCCTTTACGGGTCATGTGGGTTCCTGACACACTTTGCTGTCATGAATAATCCTGTTATGAATTCTTCCGTGTTATAAGAGTTTCCTGCTTTTAATAATTTTCTTAGGAGACATGCCCAGAAATGGGATTATTTGGTCACAGGGAATGAGCACTCTTTTGTCTCCTGCTCTGCACTTCCCAGCCGCCTGAAGGAGTTTAGCTGCAGTGCCTGCTGCCCTACCTGTCCACCCAGAGCCCCACTCCTGGGGCTTCAGGAGCCACTGCTGATGACAACATCAGCACCCCAGGTCCCCTTACCCCTGTGTACCCCATCTCTTCTCCCAGCACTGCAAGAGGCTGAGGAAGAGGAGCCCCCCAGCCCCACAGAGCCCAGCACAGAGGCCCCGGAGCCCCCCGAGGAGCCGCTCCTGGGGGAGCTGACAGTGGCAGACGCGTCCCCAGACTCCCTGAGCCTCTCGTGGACGGTGGCCCGGGGCCGCTTCGACGCCTTCACCGTCCAGTACAAGGACGGGGCCGGGCGGCCGCAGGTGCTGCGCGTGGGGGGCGAGGCGAGGGCGGCCACCGTGCGGGGCCTGGACGCGGGGCGCAAATACAAGCTGAACCTGTACGGGCTGCACCAGGACGGGCGCGCGGGCCCGGTGTCCGCTGAGGCCGTGACGGGTGAGTGAGGGAGTCCCTTCCTCCTGCTCCGCCCGCTGCTCTCCCGTTGCTCCCTGTGGGTCCCAGCCCCTCTTTCCGGGGCCTCCTGGTTCCTGACTCCTTCAGTGTTGGTGGTGTCCAGCCTGCCCTGATGCTGGGGCCCCGGGGCCTGCTGTTCACGACCTCACTCCCAAGCCTGTGCTCCTGGGCTCCCTTGTCTCACCGCGGTTGCTCGCTTCCTCTTCCGTTGCATCCTCAGGCTCCCCTGTTGGGTATTAGTGACTCCGGCTCCAATGCAGATTCAGGCTGCAGGGATCTGGATTTGCCCCCAGCTCTGTTAACTGGGGTTTTGCCTGCTCTCCTTCACCCCTGTGCCCTCCAATCCGGCAGCTTGGGAGGTGGCCGTAGCGTGAGGGCCGGGCACGCTGTGGGTGTAGACTCTGCAGCCGTGCCTGGGAAGAGCTGGAGACAGTCTGCCTCACAGCCCAGGTCCTGCCCCGCTCAGCCCGCTCTGCTCTGTTGCAGCCGCCCTGCCCACGCAGCCCCCTGCAGAGCCCCTCCTGGGGGAGCTGGCTGTGGCCTCCGTGACCCCGGACACAGTGCGCCTGTCGTGGGCGGTGGCCGAGGGCCCCTTCGACTCCTTCCTGGTGCAGTACAGGGATGCACAGGGCCAGCCCCAGGCGGTGCCTGTGAGCGGGGACCTCCGCCAGGTCACTGTCTCGGCTCTGCACCCGGCCCGGAAGTACAAGTTCCTACTCTTTGGACTCCAGGATGGGAAGCGCCATGGCCCAGCTTCCGTGGACACAAAGACCCGTAAGTGAGGGAGGGCAGAAGCCGCCTTAGCCCTGGGCTCCTGGCCAGGCTTTGCCCCTCGTGGGCGCTGTGGGAGTTCGTGTTTCCGCGCCCCACATGCAGATGCCACACCGCAGGGCCCTTCATCCACACCCTGAGCTGCCTTCGCCCCTCATGCTGGCCTCCCTGCATCCCAGGGGACACCGACTTTCTTTGCTGGCTCCTCTCTCGTCCCTTCTCCCGGCCCACTCACCCCCTCCAGGCTCCCCCAGGACCCTAGAGCCATGGCACCCCAAGAAGCGACTCTCCTTCGTTGCTGTTGTCACTCTTTGTGCTCTGCCCCCTCTTCCAGTCCCAGACACAAATCCCTCTCCTCGCCTGGGGGAGCTGACGGTGACTGACACCACCCCTCACTCCGTGGGGCTGGCATGGACGGTCCCCGAGGGCGAGTTCAACTCCTTTGTGGTCCAGTACAAGGACAAGCGTGGGCAACCCCAGATAGTGCCGGTGGCCGCAGACCAGCACAAGGTCACCATCTCTGGCCTGGAGCCGAATAAGAGATACAAGTTCCTGGTCTACGGCCTGGCGGGCCGGAAGCGGCTGGGCCCCATCTCTGCCGAAGGCGCCACAGGTGAGCCCAGACCCTGCCCCTTCTCCATCCTGGCCTGCATGGGACATTTATCCGCCTTCAGCGTTGGCAGAATGATCTCAGCACCAAAACCCAGCCCCTCCTCTGTGTGGGACACGAGCCTGAACCTGTTGTGCCCACTGCTTCCTTCAGTCAAGGATCTGATGTGAGTGGGCAGAGCCCAGCCTGGCCCTTGGCAGCAGTGTGGCCATGGCTGTGCCACCATCCCCTGGGCCTTGGCTTTCTCACCTGTGTGGTGGGGATGAGTAACACACTGGCGCTTAGCTCGCCCAGCCCCGGGGCAAGAGGCGGAACATGGGGAAGGGCTTGGCTGCAAAGGCTATGGAAAAACTAGGTCCCCTTGCAGCTGTGACTCAGCCCCAAGGAAGGGGTGGCACGGGTCCCTGACCCTTCCCCGCCCCCTGGACCCCGAGTCACCTTGGCTGGCCTGGCCGGGGCCTGGGCCACTCTGATTCCATCATTCTTTCCCCTGGAGCCTCCTTGGGGACTGCATGCTGGCGTCCCGGACGCCAGCAGCTGATACCCACCGCCCCCGTGGGTGTCTTGCCTGCTCTCCTCTCCCATCTCTGCCCGCCCCACCCGGCTGCCCTGGCCCGGGAGTGTCAGTGTGGGGTTGGGGGGCTGAGGGGCCGTCACAGGGCGGGCAGTGGCACCCCGGACTGGCTGCTCCCACCCCAACTGCCCTCTTTGGGGTATGGATCCGGGAGTCTCAGCTCCGGACCCAGCCCTGTGCAGGGCCTGGAGGAAATCACTCAGGGCTCTCTGCACCCCAAAGAGCTCCTCTCTATATACATTTTTTCCAGTACCAGAGATGAAACCCAGGGCCTCTTGTGTGGAGCTACATCCTGAGCCCCTCCCCTATTTTTTTGGTACCAGGGATCAAACTCGGGACCTTGTGCTTGCGAGGCAGGCAGCGGCACCACTGAGCTAAATCCCCAGCCCCTGAGCCCTTTTTTTAAAAATAATTTTTTAGACACAGTCTCCCCAGTGAGATGATCTTTATGAATCCACTGCACCCTGGACCCCAGCAGGGAGTGGGTGGGACAGCACGGGCCAGGCACCAGCCCACAGAGGGGTCCCTGAGCAGGTGAGTCTTGACCAGGAGTCCCCTCTCTTCACAGCTCCCCTGGAGGAGACTCCGCAGCTCCCTCCCCGGCTGGGGGAGCTGGCCGCCAGAGGGGAGACCCCAGACTCCCTGCGCCTGTCATGGACGGTGGCCCAGGGCCCCTTCGACTCCTTCCTGGTGCAGTACAGGGACACGCAGGGCCAGCTGCAGGCAGTGCCGGTGGCTGCAGACCAGCGAGAATTTGCCGTGGAGGGCCTGGAGCCAGGCAGGACATACGAGTTCCTGCTCTACGGACTCTCGGGAGGACAGCGCCTGGGCCCCGTCTCTGCCCTGGGGGCCACAGGTGAGGCTGGCAAGCAGGAAGGCCAGGGCTCTCCTGTGCCTCATGCCCAGTGGGCAGGTGGGAGAAGCAGCCCAGGCAGGGCCTGGGGAAAGGAAGAGGGTGCTGCCACATCCTCTGCTGTGGTCGCTGAGTTGGCCGAAAGCAGGCGCCCGGACAGGCAGCACCCGGGCGGTGACTCCTTGCTCCCCAGCCGCACTCCCTCCGTGCCCCACCGTGAGGCTGCTGCCCACCGCCTGTTGCGGCAGATTTTACCTCTAGCCAGGCGGCCTTGCTCAGCCAGGGGCAAACCTCCCTGCCTCCGATGAGTCAGCAGCATTTTCTCAAATGGAAAAACACTGGAAAACGAGTTGGGTAGGGGCCCAGAAGCCCACGGAAGTGGCTGCACGTGACGGGTCCGGCTCCTCTTCTGGAACCACTGATGCCCACTTGCTGGCTTGACTTTCCAGCCCCATTTGCGAGCCAGTTCCACCCTCAGAGGGAGCCCCAGCCCAGCCAGTGCCAGCCCAGTAGTGCAGGGGGTGCCCCCGTGGGAAGGGGAGCCAAGTGCCTGATCCCAACACAGGCGCTGCGAAGGAGTAAGAAGGAAGAGCTGGGGCCATGGCAGGATCCTTTGGAAGGAGACCCCAGGGGTGGCAGGAGTTCATGCCGAGGAAGGCGACTCAGTCGCTTTCTCTTTGCCAAGACCCAATACCCAACACCCACAGCTCAAAGGAGGAGAGGTTTATTTAGCTCATGGTGTGTAGAGGTTTTAGTCCGCAGTGCAGTTGGCTGGCTGGAAGGCAGGGTGGACTGGCAGAGGAGACACAGTCCAGGGTAGGGCTGCAGGAGCAGAGCGGAGATCAAGGGAGGAGGAGGGAGGGAGGCCCGCCAGGCCACGCCCAGGGACCGCCTCCAGCCTGGCTGCCCTCCCGGCATCCCCTCAGCTGTAAGCTCACCAGTGGGCTCAAGCGCTCCGAGTGTCACACCCGTGATCCAGCCACCTACCCAAAGCCCAGCTCTGAATGCACGAGGCTTTGAGAGGTCACCTAGATATAACCCCTAACACAGGGACGCTGGAGTCCCAGGAGCCTCGCTGTGATGCCTGGGCCTGAGCACCGCGCTCTGCTGCCCGCATGGGTGCCAGGATCATACCTCAGCCCCCGAAATAAGTCAGAGGGACAAAGTTAACAAAAGGAAAACACTTTATTTGTAGAGGAAAAGGAAGGGGGGGAAAGGAGAAGATAGCTACCCTATAGGGAAGAATCAGGGTAGGGGCTCTGAAAAAGATGGAGGACCCGGGGCCTTGGTTCCCAGCTTCTTTTATAGAGGGGTGAGTGACCCACAGAACTTGCTGTAACTGGATGGGCTTCCGGGCACCTCTGCCTAATGTCATTTCTTCCGCCTGTCCACCTGCAGCTTCTTTCTGGCCTTATCTTTGGGGTGGGGGGCGGTTGGCAAGGGGGCGCCTTCCTGGTTAGCTTAGAGTTAGCAAGGGGGCCTGTGGACAGACGCCCATTGTTCTGGAACGACCCGCGTGACGAATGTGGTGACTGTGGCAGTGCACAGGTATGAGTGCACACTACCCTAAAGTCGCTCAGCCCCCTTGCTGCCTGCATTTTATTGGAGGTGGGGGTTTACCGTCTGTGCCCTGGCCTTCTGTGTCCCCCCGTCAGCTCTTTTTCTGGTCGCTTGGTGCAAGTCCCAAGGCTGCCATTTTGTGCCTTTCTTTATCAGGTTTTTCTTTCTTTTTCTCCCTCTCTCTGTCTTTGACTTGCTTCCCAGAGGAATCTCTAGTAAAGCTGGCTTCTGACCCCTCGAGTCAGGATCAGCTAGAAGACCTAGGGAGGCCCCTATTCTGTTCTCTCCTGCAGACCCCTGTCCTGCAGGTCCCTCCCTTCTCTCCCCCAGCCGCTGAGCCAGGACCTGTGAAGTCCTCGCCCGGCCTTGGCCTTACGGGAGCCCCTTCTTTGGGGCCGAGAGGGAGAGGGCAGGGCCCCTCGCACCCGTTCACCTTCTCCCCGGGCTTCTCCCACACAGCCCCAGAAGAGGACGCTCCAGCCCCGGAGGACCCAGAGCCCCCAGAAGCCCCTCGCCTGGGGCTGCTGGCAGTGACCGAGGCAACGCCAGACTCCCTGCGCCTCTCGTGGAGCGTGGCCCAGGGCCCCTTCGACTCCTTCGTGGTCCAGTACGAGGACACACACGGACAGCCCCAGGCCTTGCTGGTGGACGGCAATCAGAGCAAGGTCGTCATCTCCAGCCTGGAGCCCAGCACTTCCTACAGGTTCTTCCTCTACGGGCTGCACGAAGGGAAGCGCCAGGGGCCCATCTCCACGGAGGGCACCACAGGTACCAGGCCTGCGGGTCCTGCACTGGGCTTGGGAGGGTGAGAGGGGCTGGTGGGGAGAGGACCAGGAGGGCCCGGGAGGAGGAGAGGCCTCGGCACCCAGCACCGCTGCCCCCACACGCAGCTGAGGGGAAGTAGGGCCAGGCCTGGGTGGGCGTGGGGCCCGCCCCAGGCCGCCAAGCTGGCGCGCGTCTGTCCCCGCGTGCTTCTCTGGCCCCCGCTCCACACAGGACCTCCGCCTGCCGGCCAGACCCCGGGGGACCCAGGGCCGCGCCTGTCCCGGCTGTCGGTGACTGATGTGACCACCAGTTCCCTGCGACTCGACTGGGAGGCCCCACTCGGCGCCTTCGATTCCTTCCTGCTCCGCTTTGGGGTGCCCACGCCAAGCACCCTGGAGCAGAGGCCTCGTCCTCCGCTGCAGCGGGAGCTGATGGTGCCGGGCACGCGGCGCTGGGCCGTGCTGCGGGACCTGCGGCCCGGGACCCTGTACAGCCTGACCCTGTATGGGCTGCGCGGGCCTCACAAGGCCGACAGCGTCCAGGGCACTGCCCGGACCCTGAGCCCAGGTAGGGCCAAGCTGGGCCCACCTTGTCCCTCCCGGGTGGGACCCAGCGCCTTAGCGGGGGCAGCGGGGAGGGGCTTACAGGAGCCGGGGGAGCAACTTCCAGCCCAGAGGCTGAGGGGAAAGGGGAGCTGGGCACTCTGGAGCCAAGGGCAGGCAGGGCCCGGGGAGGAGAGGAGCTTGGGGCCCCAGGGCAGCCATCTCCCTGCCCCTGCGCCCACGTCGCCCCGTGCCCCGTGCCCAGTGCTGGAGAGCCCCCGTGACCTCCAGCTCAGCGACATCCGGGAGCGGTCAGCCACGGTCAGCTGGACACCACCGCCATCCAGGGTGGACAGCTTCAAAGTTTCCTACCAACTGGCAGACGGAGGTGACGCCCTTGCCCCGTCTCCTCTGCGCTCGCTCCCCGCCCCTGCGCGCTGCCCGCGCTCCAGCGCCCTGGGCTCTGGGTGACCTCCCAGCCCGCCTCTTCCAGGGGAGCCGCAGAGCGTGCAGGTGGACGGCGGGGCCCACACCCACCGCCTGCAGGGGCTGACCCCCGGCGCTCGCTACGAGGTGACGGTGGTCTCCGTGCGAGGCTTTGAGGAGAGCGAGCCCCTCACGGGCTTCCTCAGCACGGGTAAGAGGCCGGCGGGGAGGTGGGCAGAGCCTGAGAGTGCTGTGGGGGCGGGGAGTGAGCCCCGAGGGGCGGGGAGGCTGAGGCGGGGAGAGACGGGACCCCCTGAGCCCGCTCCTCCTCCCAGTTCCCGACGGCCCCACCCAGCTGCGGGCCCTGAACTTGACTGAGGGCTCGGCCCTGCTGCACTGGATGCCCCCCCGGACCCCCGTGGATAAATACAACGTCCGGGTCACAGCCCCTGGGGGTGAGCAGGGCTGAGGCCTCCCTCCGGAGGGGACTTGGTCAGGGTGGGGAGCTGGGGGCCGAGGAGCGGGAGGGACTGACGCCACCTCGTGGCCCAGCCGCGCCTCTGCAGGGCTCGGCCCCGGGCAGTGCCGTGGACTACCCGCTGCGCAGCCTGCTGGTGCGCACCAACTACACCGCCACCGTGCGCGGCCTGCGGGGCCCCAACGTCACCTCCCCCGCCAGCATCACCTTCACCACGGGTAGGGCCGGCGTTGTGGGGCGGAAGGCGCACGCGGAGAGGGGCGGGCCTCACCCCAGCTTCCGCCCCACCCCCAGGCTTGCAGGCTCCCCAGGACTTGGAGGCCAAGGACGTGACCCCCCGCACGGCCCTGCTCGCCTGGACGGAGCCCCAGGCCCCTCCCACGGGCTACCTGCTCACCTTCGGCGCCCCCGGCGGGCGGACCCAGGTGCCCCAGGCTTGGTTTGGGGCGCTGCCTCGGGCTCTCCCGGAGGCCCCTCCCGGGGCCCTGACCTGCCGGCCTCCCTCTCGGTCCCACAGGAGATCGCACTGCCGGCCGGGGTCACCTCGCACCGGCTTCTCGGCCTCTTCCCTTCCAGCCGCTACAGTGCCCGGCTGCAGGCCGTGTGGGGCCAGAGCCTCACGCCACCCCTGGCCACCTCGTTCACCACTGGTACCGGTGCAGCCCGGGCGGGGGCTCGGGCAGCGGGGCTCGGTCTGGGGAGAGCACCGGCGCCTCCCTTTCCTCCGCAGGCGGACTTCCGGTCCCCTTCCCCCGGGACTGCGGGGAGGAGATGCAGAACGGGGGCGGCTCCCGGGCCACAACCATCTTCCTCGACGGCAACCGCGAGCGGCCCCTGAGCGTGTTCTGCGACCTGGAGACCGACGGGGGCGGCTGGCTGGTGGGTGGCGCCGGGAGCCCAGGGGGCTGCGCGGGCAGGAGCCGAGCCGGAGCCTGACGCCGCCGCCCGCCCCTCAGGTGTTCCAGCGCCGCGTGGACGGGCGGACGGACTTCTGGAGGGACTGGGAGGACTACGCCCACGGCTTTGGCAACGTCTCCGGGGAGTTCTGGCTGGGTCAGTGCCTCTGCAGGGTGGGGAGCGGCGGGGGGGGGGCTGCGGACGGCACTGAGACACCGAGGCGCTCCCGCCCTAGGCAACGAGGCCCTGCACAGCCTGACGCAGGCGGGCGACTACTCCATGCGGGTGGACCTGCGCGCCGGCGATGAGGCCGTGTTCGCCCAGTACGACTCCTTCCGGGTGGACTCGGCCGCCCAGTACTACCGCCTGCACCTGGACGGCTTCCACGGCACGGCAGGTAAGGGTGAGCCCGGGCCGGGCGCGGGGCAGGGGAGGGCGCCCGCTCACTCCCCCGGCCCGCCCAGGGGACTCCATGAGCTACCACAGTGGCAGCGTCTTCTCCGCCCGCGACCGGGACCCCAACAACCTTCTCATCTCCTGTGCCGTGTCCTACCGCGGGGCCTGGTGGTACCGGAACTGCCACTATGCCAACCTCAACGGGCTCTACGGCAGCGCGGTGGACCACCAGGTGAGAGGCCACGGGGCGGCAGGGTGCCCCACCCCCCCGCCGTGAGTGCGCCAGGACAGCCGTCAGCACCGGCGGGCGGGCGCCGGGCCGCAGCCTTGCAGTGGGGCGACGCTGCTGACTGCTTCTGGGGAAGGTGGTTTATTGGGTAGAAGGGGCCAGCGCAGGCTGAAGCCTCCGTGCTGTGTGGCTGAGGGTCATGGGGGGGGGGGGGTTCTGAGTCACCGCTCCGGGCCGGGAGTGGGCGGATGAGACCGCAGCTCTGACACCCGTGCCAACCTTTCCCAGGGAGTGACCTGGTACCACTGGAAGGGCTTTGACTTCTCCGTGCCCTTCACGGAAATGAAGCTGAGGCCGCGAAGCTATCGGCCCCCTGCCCAGGGAGGCTGAGCTGCCGCCCACCTTTCCTGCACCCCAGGAGGACTGCCGAGCACTGGGGGGTCGCGCCCAGAGGAGCTCCGGGAAGTCTTCTCTGCCCGCGGTCTCACAGCACCATGTTTACAGGGGGGAGGGGAGGGTTTGTATGGGAGCAATAAAGGAGAAACTGAGGCACACGGCGGCTCTGGTCCTGCCCATCACTGGCACTGGCCCCGGCACGGGGCCCCGAGACCCCGGGGCTGCAGCCGCACCTGAAAAGGCTGCACCAGCAGGTTGATGCCGCTGTAGGGCTGAGGCTGCAGAGAGGGCAGGGCGCCCTCCAGTGGCAGCAGAGTGAAGGCCTGGAGCAGGTGCGTCAGCACCACGAAGAGCTCCAGGCGGGCCAGCGACTCACCCAGGCACACGCGCGCCCCGCAGCCGAAGGACAGCTCGTGGGGGCTCTTGCCCAGCGGCAGGAAGCGGTCTGCGGGCGGTGGAGAGCAGCGAGGGGCTGTTAGAGGCGGCAGCACCGGCCACCCCTCCTCGCCACGCCCGGCAGGCTCCCTGCGCACCAGGCCAGAACTCGTGGGGCCGTTCCCACAGCGTCTCGTCCAGGTTGGCACCTTGGATGTTGGGGATGATGACAGTGTCCCTGGGGATGTCGTAGCCGGCGATCCTGAGGGGAGAAGGAGTGAGAGGCTGGCGGGGACCCCGCTCAGGCCCTCCTGCAGCAGCCGGCCCTCCAGCCACCTGCTGGGTCGGATGGTGCGGTGCGGCAGGGCCAAGGGCACCACGGGCCGCAGGCGCAGCACCTCAGCGATGGTGGCGTTGAGCAAGGGCAGCTGCTTGCGGTCCTTGTACAGGAGCCGGGAGGTGAAGGAGTCGGGACCCAGCTCCAGGTCCAGCTCCTCTTGGAGACGTCGCTGAATCTAGGAGTGGGGACCAGGCTGCCGTCAGGGGCCCGCTGTGCCACTCGAAGCTGCTCAGCCGCAGCCCAGAGCAGGGGGAGCCGGACTCCTGCAGCCCCAGCCAGGCATCAGGGAGGAGCCCAGGCGCACCTCAGGGTGGTGCAGGAGGAAGGCCACAGCCCAGGAGAGGGTGGTGGCTGTGGTCTCGGTGCCGCCGATGAAGAGGTCCACCACGGACATGTGCACGTGTCCTTCCTGGAGCTGTTCCGAGCCCTGCTCCTTCCCGGGCTGCTCCACTCCTTGGAGCATGTAGTCCAGCAGGTCCCTCCACTGCCCGGCCACCAGGCTGTCCTGTGAGGGGAGGGCAGCAGGCCAGGAGCGGGGTGCCGGGGAGCCCCTGGTGGAGGGGCCAGGGAGCCCAGTCCAGGCGCAGCCCTCACCTTGTGCTGCCTCAGCTGCTGCCCTACGATGAGGTCCCTGACCTCCACCATCTGCTTCAGCCTCTGGATGCCCGGGTTGGGGAGGAACTGGGGAGGTGGCAGGGTCAGCTGCTGGGGGGGGGCTGCTCCTCCACCCGCCCTTCCTCCCAGGACAGCTCACCCTCAGGAAGGGGACCATGTCCAGGATTTGGATGGACCAGTGGTTCCAGGCATTCATCAAGTCCTGGACGCAGCTGCAAATGCTCCGCACCAAGGTGTCACTCTGTGGAAAATGGGGAGGCTTCCAGTTCCGGACCGGAGAGGCTGGGGAGGGCTGGGGGGAGGCGCGGGCGATCCTGACCTTGTTTCCAAAGGTGAGGCCGCAGATGATGCCGCAGGTGAGGAGCAAGAACTCCCTGTGGATGTCCACGGGGGCGCCAGCCTGGGCTCTCAGGCGCTGTGGAGGAGGAACAGGAGCCGTGTGGGCTGGGGGGACAGGGGGCACTTCGGGGAGGGGAGACTGACCCGCCGGAGCCTGGGCTCACCTGGCAGAACTCCTGGGTCAACTGCTGCACCCAAAGCTCCATGGAGTTTCTGGCACCCAGCAGGAGGGCCGAGCGGGTGAGCTTCTTGTGCGCCTTCCAGAGCACGGAGTAGTCCCCCAGTGACAGGTCGGGGTAGCTCTGACACACCAGCTTGGCTGCGTGGGGGAGAGACAGCGGCTTGGAGGCCCGAGCACACCCCCCAGCCCTTCCCTCCCTGCAGGAGGGCCCCGCCCTTACAGGACTGCATCTGGGGTCTGCCGGCAAAGTCCACCCACTTCCGGAGCATGGCCTCCTCTATGGACTGCTTGGAGTTCAGCACCACCACATCTGTAGGAGAAGCCACACGGGTGGGCGTCATGGGGCCAGACCCATGGCTGGCGGGCACTGGGGAGGGAGGGCGCTCACTTCTCAGCCCATAGTGCAGCCGGTAGATGGGCCCCATTTTCCGAGAGAGCCTGAGCAGGTGGATGGGGAGGTTGGGTTGAAGGAGGTGCAGGAAGCCCGGGGCCAGAGGAGGGAGGTTGAGGGTCCTGAGCTTCCACTGGGCCCACAGCAGGCGGGTGCCTGCCAGCAGCAGCACCAGCAGGAGCAGCAGGAGCATCCTGGCTGAAGGCCCCGCGTGGGTCCTGTGCAGCCGCTTATAACTGGAGCTCGGCCATCCATCTTGCTGCTTGGGTTGTCTCGGAGCCTCCTCAGTCTCTACCCTCAAGTCCAGTCCCTGTCCCAACCCACAGGGCCTGCGTGCCCTCAGCTGCAACAGTCTCACCGGCCTTGGGGACTTTACATTTCAAAGAGCAAGCCATCCATCAAGAAAACAGGAGCGGAAACAAACCCCGGCCCTCCTTCTGCAGCCAGAACCAGGTCTCCAGTCCAAGGCAACCTGGCGGCCAGGGTGCCTGCCCCAGGCGGGGCCTCTCCCTCTACACCCACCCAAGAGAAGGCGATTGGTATGAATTTGGCTCTACAAGGAAAACGGGGTGCCTGCCTACCACACCCTCCAGGATCGCCTGGAGGCCGAAATGAGACGGAAGCCACTTGTGTGGGGCTTTTCTTGGTGTGGAGATGGGTGGTTCGCCCGGAGCTTGGCAGCAGAGCTGTCACTCGCAGCCTCCCACCAGCCCACAAGTGTCCAGAAGACGGAGGGTCACAGGGTCCCCCGTAGGAGCGCCTGGCGTGCACATGGTGCGCATGGCTCTGACTCAACCCCGGTGCCCATGCTATGCACAGAACCCTGTCGCTGCCCCCTTCTGAGGATGAAAGCCCAAGGCGAGGGCCAGAGAGCACGGCCAGGACAGTGCAGAGCCAGGCTTCCGGCTGGCAGGCAGGCTGCAGAATCGGTGCCTCTGGGCCAGAGGAGGACCTCTTTGGTTGCAAGGAAAGGGGCTGACTTGAGCTGGCTTGGATAAAAAGAATTCTCGTGTGCGCCAGGCATGGTGGGGAGCGCCCGCAGTCCAGCACTCAGGAGGCTGAGGCCTGGCCTCCCTAGTGAGGTCCTGGCTCAAAAGAGAAAATAGTTGTCCTGTGACTTCAGAGGTAGCTCACGGAACAGAAGGACAGGAGAGCCGAGGATGGGCCCTCACACGGGGCAGGACAGAAAGAGCCCTGGCAGCAGGCGACTTCCTCCCCTCACCCTCTCCTCTCCCAGCACGAGCTTCCCTCGATTCCTGACCAGGTAGGACAGGGCTGGCCTCAGGGCCCCAGGGTTCTCCTCGAACTCCCGCGTGACCGCAGCCCCCAAGTCCCAGGAAGCAGCTCACCAGCCACTGCCCGTCCCTCAGAGAGTGGGCAGCTGCAGCCGCAGTGGGCTCAGGGCCCTCCCTGTTCTGCAGCCGTGGACAGGAGGGGGTCCCACTGGACCGAGTGAGATCAGGGGCCCTAGAGAAGGGGAATGAGGGTTAGGCTGTACCCTGACACTCCGTCCACGGCTCTGGACACAGCCCAGTGCCAGGGGTCTCCCGCAGCGCTTCCCGAGCAGACCCACTGGGCCAGCCAACTGCTGGGCGCCCAGCCCGAACACATGGCCAGCCTGGGTGGGAAAGAGTGGGGAACAACTTCTGGGGCCGGGCAGTGCCTGCTGCTCCTCGTGGTCGGCCCCAGACCCAGGCTGGCGGACCCTGGGTCCTGGGCTCCAGGACGGGTTCGTCCCAACAAGCCTACTGGCTCTGCGGAAGGAGACCCACAGGAAGTGCAGAGCGCTCTTGGTTACTGAGAAAGGTCAGAACTTCTTGAGGATGCCCAGAAGAGGGGGCCCACCCTTCTGCCACACCCCAATCCAACTCCACACCCGAATCACGGTGCCCCAATGTGCTCCACGCACCCCCCAGAACTCCCATCTACACCTGCTGTCTCCTCAATCTTCTGGGAACAACTTCCACGCTGCCTCCTCCAGCAAGTCTTCCTTCCCCTCTCCGCTCCTCCCTCAGGGCCTGGCCGCTCCCTGGCCGCACACCTTACACCCAGCCCCACTTCACTGCCTCCCCTGGGAAGAGCGCTATGTTGCGGTCCCTGGCCCAGCACGAATCCCTGCTGCCTGACTAAACGGCAGGCTGCTGAGCCATCCCAGGACCCGCCAGAGCGGCTCCCAGTACATTTCTCAGGAAGGATTTCTAGGTCACCCCAGACCCCAGAGGTGCCAGCACAGTGGGGGAAGCCAGGCAGGCAGGGTGGGAAGGCTGAGCTAAGTGGGACAAGGCTCCTCTGGAGAATTAACAAATGCCCCCACAGCCTTGAGCCTGCTTAAAGTACATGTCCCAGGGACGCAGCAGACCGGGCTTGCTCAACTCCTGGAAAGTTTCCTAACGCGGCTGCTAACAGGCCCCGGTGCTCGGCCAAATCCACAGGGGCCAGGGGCCAGCACTGCTAAGTGTGAGAACATGTGCACGTGTGCGTGTGTGCAGCTCCGGGGCACAGGAGCTGACATGTGAGCTGAGCTCAGGGCCTGCCAAGGCCGGGAGACTTTTGAGCATGCTGAAGGGAGGCCTAGGTCCTCCGGGTACAGGCTGTTGGTCCCGGCCCTGCTCTGGGGTCTGGAGATGGACTGAGCCCTAGTGAGCCGCTGGGCAGCCCGAGGCCCCGAGGCTGAGTCCAAGGTCGCACAGACCTGGCCTGGGCTGCACAGCACTGGGAATGGCGGAGGGGTCTGCTCTCAGAACTGGAGAGGCACACTGACACTCAGCAAAGGCCTTTATTACACCTCCAACCCGCCCAGCACCCCTCGCCCCCGCTCAGGGCCCTCCCCCGGTGAGGCAGTGCACGCCCTCACACTTGGCAGCCCTGGGTGCTGTACTCCTGGATGAAGTCGCTGAGCTGGGCACAGGCTGCTCGCTGGCGGGTGCTCCGGCACAGCCGCTCCGAGGGCATCTCCTCGATCCAGCTGTTCGAGTCCAGTAGGTACTGGGGGCTGCAGGGGACAAACGGGCTCTCAGGGGTCAGGGAGCAGAGGGCAGCACGCTTGGCTCTGTGGCACAGGGCTGGGCACCGGACCTGTCCCCAGGGAGGGAGAGCTGGGGAACTCACTCTCCCTTGAGGTCACAGGTGGCCCCATCCACGCCCATGACCAAGTATTCCCTGTTGGGCTCCAAGCGAAGGCGGCAGGAGTCTCGCACCAGGAAGTTGCGGGTCTGACCGGCAGCGGCCTTGGTGTCCTTGGCTGCGGGGATAAGGAGCCGGGGCCATGAGTGGCCCCAGCCCATGCAGACCCTGGCCTCCGTCTGCCCGCACCCCTGTGCCCATCCCTACCGAAGTGCAGCACTTGGGTGATCCTGGTCTCAAAGAGGCGGAAGGCTGCTCTGCTGTCCTCTCGGAGGACCTGGATGTGGAAGCCTGGCCGGGGTGAGGGAGGGCCGGAAGTCGGGGTCAGGGCAGAGGACAGGCGGGGGCCGGCGGGAGGAGCGGGGTGGAGGCCCGGGCTCACCGTAGTCCACGCGGGGGTCGTAGCAGGCAAACTTCATCCTGTAGCCGTCCTCATCCTGCAGCCCTCGCTCCAGGGCACGGCGCTGTCTCGGGCACTTGCCTGCAGGGAGACCAGGGTGAGCACCTGCCAGCCCCAGTGTGCCAGGCCTGCGCCCGCCCAGGCCAGCTTCTCACCCTCCGCACACTGGCAGACGTCACCAGAGCACAAGGTGGACAGGAGCTTGCTCTTACTCGGTGCCCCGTAAAACACAGAACACCTGCGCTCTGGGCAAAGGCAGAGGGTTAGGTGTGCGGCCCACGCTCCGCCACTAGTGCCCGGAGCCCCGCACCCGGCTCCTGCGGCCCTCCCAGGCTGGGGCGAGCGCTCACCGGGGCTGTAGTAGTCGTACACGACCGCGCTGGCCGGCTGCACCAGCCCCACGGCCACCTCCTGCACGGCTCCAAAGCCCACGCACTCCCGGGAGGTGGGCACCTGGCACCAGGAGGGGAGCAGGATCAAGGACCCGGGCCTTCTCTCCGTGTCCTTCACATTCTGCTAAGTTCCTGCCACCAGAGCTCTGACGTCTGCTCCCAAGGCCTCCGATGACCTCACTCCCCAGATGGCGGCCTTGCCTCAGCCCGCACCGCCCGGAGCCGCTGCAGGGCCTCGAAGCACGGGCTGGGTAGCGCCCTGTCCTCCAGGCTTGCTGTTCCCTGCCCTTCCATCCCAGGGCAGCCCCACCCGGCTCTTCGGCACCCAGTGGGGCCTCACCACGCCCTGGCTTCCATCGCTCCTCCAAGCCGGCCAGGATCACGGCAGGACCCTGCAGCCTTGTCCCGTCCTTGTCCCTGGCAGAGCTGCAGCCCGGGCCACCCACCATGACCCAGGGCATCTGCCCAACTTCACCGCGGCTCACAGGGCCGCCCGCCCTCCTGTCATGGTGCCTGGATGCCAGGAGTCCACACGGAACCTCCTCACACAGAAACTGTCATCCAGCGCCACCAACGTCCTGCCCACGTCACCTGTCCACACTCACCGAGTCAAAGTAGAGTAGGACATGGGGGCCCTCGGTCTCAAAGTGGCTCACGTAGCGGTCGGAGAGGGAAGTGAGCTGTGGGAAGGGGAGGCAGCCTCGGTCCGAGCTTGGGCCTCGGACGTGGCGGGCTCAGCACGGGGTGGGGCGGGGTGGGGCGTGGGCCTCCCAGGGGCTCGGGAAGGGAGCAGGGCTGCCCGGGCAGCTGGCTGCACCTTCTCCAGGTCAGATCGCAGGGCGCTGAAGCCACTCAGGAGGGTGACATCTGCGATGGCCATGCCAGACAGCCGCACCTGGCCCCGCCGCCTGTGGAGACATGCAACCTCGGTCCAGGCTCGCGTGGCCGCCTGTCCAGGCCCGTCCTCCCAAGCAGCACGCACCAGATGCACACGGTGTACTGCACTTTGGCCTCCTGCTCCTCCGGCGCCTTGGGGGCCTCCCGCCTGCGGCGGTTCCTCCGGCCCTCAAACAGCTGCAGGGGTGTCACGGGCCGTGCGTAGGCACCTGGGTCGTCCCCGGCCGGAAACTCCTCATACTCATAGTCCTCCTCGTAGTCCAAGCTCGCTTCCCCTGCACAGGGCAGGGGTGAGGCGGGAGGCAGCCACTCAGGCCACCGCAGCCCTCAGCGCCCAGGTGCCCCGACCCCAGCACTCACTCGTGTACTCCACGTAGCCCATGACTGTCACCTCCATCTGGAGGTCCTGGCAGTCCGTCGTGTTCTTCATGTTCAGGACGTTGTAGGTTCGAAGGACCTGGCTCGGCAAGGGCAGGGAGAGTGCACAGCGTGTCCGGGCTCGGCCCCAAGGTTACCGCCCTGGCCAAGCGCAGGAGAGGGCACCAGACAGGCTGCATGTGCTGGGCCAGGCGTGTGACACAGGGCGAGGGAGCAAGGCCAGCACCTGAGACGGTGCCCAGAGCACCCGGACAGCCTGGGCCATGGCCAGAAGGAGCGGATGAGTCTGGTCCATGGGCCAGGAGGCAGGGGAGGATGTGCAGCAGAGACCTGAGCCATCTGGCTGGAGTGGCACGGCCCTCGCTGCGAGCACGCAGCAGCAGGCCCGACTTCCCCCAAGCCACGCTGCCGGAGCTCGGGAGGCGTGTGATGGGAGGCACAGCCCAGACGGCCTTAGCGAAAGGCCTAGGACAGCAGAGGCGAGGGCCCTGGCAGGGGAGCACAGCGGGGGCTCCTGGCCATGAGGGTGCGCCCTGCAGAGGGGCCGTGGGGCTCCCACATCTTGCAGGAGGCACGCGGCAGAAAGAAGGGGCACGGGCTGCATGACTGTGGAATGTGGGGAGCCAGTGGGTCAGGGGACAGGCCTGGGCTGGGGAGCAGGACGTGGAAATGACAGGGTGACCAGTGAGGGGGACGGGCCCAGGATGCAGACGGGGGACCACCCCGGGGTGGCTTCCTCCTCGCCAGGCCCAGCGCTGGCCTCACCTTCAGGGTGCCTTTGCTGTTCCCTCCCACCTTCACGGTAATCCTGCTGCCCAGGGAGAACTGTCAGGAAGACGAGAGGGAAGGAGCGGTCAGAAGGGCCAGTCCAGCCACCGGCCTCCCTCAGCTCACGCGCAGTGTCCTCTGGCTTCCGCGTGCTGAGCCCCTGTGGGCGGTCGGACTATGTGACGGTGTGTGACCATGCAATCTTACGTAAGTGACACACTGCCATCATTTTCCCTCAAAATACTTGTTCTCGCGTTGAACAGCCTCATCCCGTCACTCGTGCCACTGTCAGAAGCAGTTCAGAGTCCTCTTTTGCATCTTTATGTGATCAAAAATACAGTGAATGTGCTGCCAAGTGGCACCCAACAGAAAGGTGCGCTCATAAAGTACTGCAGTGCGGCCCACCCACCCAGCTCACTGGGTCTGGCACAGTGCAACTTCTGGCTCTTCCTCGAAGTCAAAATGACAGTGAAAGGTACTTTTATTTTTTGTTTGTTTTTGGTACCAGGGAACGAACTCGGGTCCTTGCACTTGCGAGGCAGGCGGTGGAACCACTGAGCTAAGTCCCCGGGCATATTTTTTTATTTTTTGAGGCAGGGTCTCCCTTTGTAGTTTGAGCTGAACTCACTATGTAGTCCAGGCTGCCCTCTAACTCGCAGCAATCCTCCTGCCTGTCTCCCCTGTGCTGGGATCACAGGCATGCGGGACCATGCCCAGCAGGAAAGGTAAACTTTTGGACCAATTTAGGACATCAAGGCAGCCACGACGCACACAACTAAAGACATGAAAGAGGACCTCCAGAGCTGCTTCAGAAAGTGGCAAGGACAATGGGGCAAGTGTGCTCAAAACCTGGGGGGGTATTTTTTGAGGGGTATTAATGCCAATGTTGTGTTTTACTACAATAAATTGAAAACAAATATATATATATTTAAAATCCACCATATTTTTCATCCCTACCACAAGGGTGAAGTTCAGAGGTTTGGTCACACAGCCGGCAAGACAGTGTTCCCAAGGGCCTCAAGAGGAGGGCCGTGGAGCCGGCAGGTGAGGTGGGCGTGGTTCTGGCCCTGCCCAGGTGTCTCAGCGACCCCAGCTGGCAAGGAGCTCACCTGAAGCTCCTCCTCCAGGCCCTTAATTTGGTGGTTGTTCAGCTGCAATACGTGGGACTTGAAGCCACTTCGGCCCATGGAGCTAAGGGTCACGTTGAGCTCCTTGTCCTCCGTGGTGTGGGAGGCGATCCAGTAGGCAGAAAGGGCGTCCAGGGCCACCACTGTGTCCTGAAGGTCAGGCCACGACTCAGCCCGGGTCTCAGGA